ACCTTTGAACCAGAAAAAACCCCTAAATCATATACTAAAAATCAAATATCTACTTTAACATATTTTTATTTTATTTTTAAAAAGTGTTGCCCTGATTTCTGTGCATTTGCATAGTGTGTATAGAGGTGATTGCATAATAGCTCAGAATAAAGTCTTACTCTTGTATATTGTTGGGGGGGGTTGACGGGGTTGTAAAGGGGTGCAGGGGTATGTGTGCGAGTTAGCAAGTGGGTGTGGGATTTGTAGGGGAGTGGGGCTGTGTGTGTGAGGTATGTGGCAGAATACAAGTGGGTGGGTGTGGGCCCCCTCAGCACACGCCCTACCCCCATAGCACACAGCGCCTGCCAGCAACAGCAGCAAGCCCTTAATGTGCTCATGGCCTGCACAGGCAGAGCCCTCTGGTGGTGTGTGGCTCTAATTGAGTCCCAGGATCTACACATAGTAGCACGGAGCCAGCCCAACTTGGCCCACTGGTGTGCACCTTCAAGACAAGCCAAGTTAGATCTGTGCCAGCACGTGGGGTTCCCAGCACTGCAGGCAGGAGCTGCACACCATCGGGCTAGGCCAGGCAGGCTCCATGCCTCCTCATGGGGCTTCCCAACACTGCAGTGGGGATCCACACGTGGAGGAAAGGAGCCAGACTGGCCCAGCTTGAAGACATGCACTCCCAGTTGCAGTACTGGGAGCCCCACATGCTGGCATGGAGCCAGCCCAGCCCAGCCTGATGGCATGCAGCTCCCAGATGTGCCAGGAGCTGCATGTGGCAGCATGGAGCCCACCCAGCCCATTCATACATGGCTCTCCACAACTCCCAGCTAGAGTTCCGGTTGCTGTGGGGAGTCATGTGCCGTTGGGCTGGGCTGGCTCTGTGCCTCTATGTGGGGCTCCCAGCTGGATTACTGGAAGCCCCATGGAGGCTAAGGCACAGAGCTGGCTCAGTCTGATGGCATGCAACCTCTGAAAACCCACGCCTCACTCTGACTTTCAAAGGGGCAGCTGTGGGCTGGTAATAATTGCCTTCTGGAGGGGCCCTGCAGGCTGGATAAAATGGCCTGGCAGTCCAGCTGGCCCACGGGCTGTATTTTACCCACCCCTGTGCTAAAGTGACAACAACCCTTGAAATTTAAGGGCTCCAAGGGCTCATTTCAGAAGGCTGTGTGAAACAAAAAAAAATTTTTTGAAAAGCAGTAAACAAGTTTTGGAGGACTTTATTTTTTTTCCTTTAAAAAAACAAACAAACAAACAAACCCTGCTTCTAAACAAGTGAGTTAACCCTCATCTTTTGTTCCTGCCACTTCCAAAGAACTGAACAGACTTCATGAGGCTGCACTGCCTTGTATTGACTGACTGAGGTCTTTCTCCTCTTTTAACTGTATTGTTCTGTACTATGTTAACATCTACTGTATTCCTGGGTTGTCTCCAAGCCCACACTAGTAAGAACATTTGCTTCCTTTAGGGTAGGAGAGGATTAAGAGAATTAGAAGTCTCCTGCCCTAGAAGATCTTGTTTCTCCTTTACATAGGGATTAGAAAGTTTGCTGTGCTTCTCATCTGAGTTGGCACTCCTCCTTTGCCTAGGAGGGCACAAACAAAACATAACATGATATGATTTGGCTGGGGAGATATGACCACGGCATCCATTCCTGCCCGGAGCATAGGGCCAGACCTGATGATCTGTTTAGGTCCCTTCCGACCCTAAGCACTATGAAACTATAACCCAAATATGTTTGAGTTTCTAATAAAACTAGATTCTGGTAACATACAAGACAATAAATTTTGGCTTAAAATTTTCCCAAGCTTAAATAATTTTGGGGTTCATTGCATAAAACTCTTGCATAAAATTACTGCATCCAAATTACTAATGTAATGCAACTCTTCAAGATATACTCCAATCAACTCATGTACTCTGTATTAAGGTTAGCAAGCTACATCTGCTACTGTGATTTAACTGCAATCACTCTGCATGTTTATACTAGAATCTAGTATGAGACATTAAACGGATACATGGCTGTTTTGAGTCTTCCCAATATATGAGAACTACTTTTAAGAAAACCCCCAAGCCAAACTTTTCTCCCCTAACCAATGCAGATAATCTAGTCTCTTCACTTCTTGCAGCATTTTTCTTTCCAGCCACCAATAAGTTCTGTGACTTCTTATATTCCCCATCCCATGCAAAGCAGCCAGCCAGGGGAGTGAGCAGAATCCCTCACTCTGAAGTAGACCCATTTTACCCCCCTTCTTGTAGCGGAATTACATAATAGAGTCCAAATCAATAAAATGGATGGCCTCAACAAGTTCTGCTACCTGCAAAAGCTCAGTAATGATGAAACCCTCCCTCACTACTATTTGGACACAGTCCAAGTTTGTTAGAATAACATTTCCCTTATCTTAAGGTATATGTAGGTACAGTACATTCACTAGAAGATTCCAGACCATATCACGATCTCATAGTCTTACTTTATCAGTGGAAAAAATAAATTTTGAATACAAGTAAAATCAAACAGAAAAGACTCTGCAATCTAGGGAACAGAACAAAACCAGAAGGAATAGGTTCTATTCTCAACTAGTTTACTGGAAAAGTCATTTAACTTCTCTGTGCCTTTCCCCACATGCAGAGATAATGACAACAACCTCATTTGTTAAAAGTATCTTGATACTGATGCAAAAAAGCTGTATAAAATATACCAATATTTTTATAATAAGATTTTGGGGATCAAATGGTACTGCAACTTTTAAAAAGTCCCAAGTTCTGTGCTGCACCCAAGGGGAAAGGGGATAACATCATTTTAAGTTACCTTTAGGCCTCCCTGACCTGAGACTGTTTAAATTATGGTAACCTACTATCAGTTTCCTTGGATAGCAGCACTGTCCACAATCTCTGCAGTGCTATATGTTAACCACAAATGTTCTCACTCCTAGTATGCTCCAAACCACCCCTTTCTGGACAATGGCTAGGCCACGGGTTTTCAAAGAAGTCACTGGAGAGACAGAATTAATATGCTAGAATTCTTCCCCAGCCAGATTACAGGTTTGGGCCTTTCGATTTGGGTACTCATCTTTGTCCCTTCTGGTTTCTCTCTTCAAAGTCATTTTTTATTTTCCTCCAACAGTGATCCTTTCCAGGTGGTGGCCATGGTTTCCCTTTGCATCACCCTTGTAACAACCCTGTTTGATGGGCAGCCCCTGCCACCATGGTTACATATACTACTACACCAACATTTGTACTCTTAAGACAGACTTAACTGATCTTTAATCTACCAGTTTCCCTACTTTCTGGGCCTCAAGCTTCAGATCAGAGGCATCCAAGCTGTTAGATAAAAGGTCAGGACCTTCTGCTTTCTGGTTCCAGCCTGGCTAGGAGAAATCTGGGATTTACTGTCAGCCTTGAGCTGCTCATCTGGGTTATCTCATGAATTGCAGCTGCCATAGCTCATGGACAGCAGCCCTGACCTGCTGCCATTTTTTCTGCTTTTCATCAATTTCAGAATATATGTTGTTTTTCCTTCATATATAAAAGGTGTATACAACCCAACCAAGACCACCACTAGAACAGTTTCCATCCTCCTCAAAACAGAATATGCATGTACACACATCCATCCCAAAAATTTAACCTCCTTGTCACAGCTTTATGGGTCACCTGAGTAACAAACTTCAGCTGAAACCCTCCTGTAACTTCCCAGTTCCTAGTTTCTATGCAGAACCTTTTCCCCTACCCCAGAGCCTTGGCTCCACCTCTCTCAAATATTCTGACCTCTCATATTCTAACTGGAGTTAAGATGCCCTCACAGCATGACTTCTTTAATTATCGGCACCTTTGCACAAGATTGATGCAAATCAAAATAATCAAAGGTGCTCTGTATTCTTTTGCAGAGTTTATCATCCTCTTAAATGTTGATAGTGTCTGAACCAGCACAGATCCAGAAGGGAGAAGAACTGAATCACAATAAGACTAAAGATCAGCATGCCCTTCATCTTTTTATCCACAGACCAGAATTAGCAAGGGTACCGGTATTAAAAAAAAAATCACTTCTATTCATACTACAGCTCTGACTGAAAATTACTATATTTCAGCAAAACAGTTCATTCTGTAAAGCTCATGAATGCTGCCAGACTGGCAACCCTAGAAATTCAAGTACTCCAAGGGCTCATTTCAGAAGTTTATGCAAGACAACCCTGCCCCCACACCAAAAAAAAAAACTTACTGCTTGTCATGGTTATCAGAGTATCACTTTGATTATTTTTCCTTTCTTAAAAAAAAATCTGGTCTCTAGACAAAGGAATTAGCCTCCCTTATTTTGTTTCTGAGACTTCTAAGAACTGAACTGACTTCTTGAAGCTGCACAGCTTATCTTGACTAAGGTTCTCCCCTCCTTCTGTTTTAACTGCACTATTTAAACTGTTGCTTGTCTTGCAACCAGGTACTTTGAAGTGCTGAGTCACAGCAAGCCCCCAGCTCACCATAACCTGGCATTTTAAACATATGGGGTATATTTAAATTGCTGAGGCAAGGGTTACAATACTGCTAACATGAGAGTACATAACGCCCCTGCCAGGAGATGAAGAGAGAAGGTATGTTTGCCATGAAAACAGAGGAGATAGGAGGAAAGTATGAAGGGAGGGTGATGGAAACAGGGTGCAAAACAGTGAGATACAAGGAGTCCCAAGTTTTTCAGACATCTAAGTAACCACCATCTAAATCTCTAAAAGGTCCATACTGGGTATTATGGAAAAGAAAGTGGATGGAAAAGATTACTTCACCTGCGATGTTGAAAGTTGTTCTCTGAAATAAAATCACCATGGGTCTGTCTAGTTTCCATTATAACCTGAAGAGCTAGTCTAATGACAACTTGCACCAAAAATAACAAAAGGTACGATTAATCCTGATTAAGTCATTTTGGTTTAAAACCATTTTGTTCATTTTGAAAACTGGGTGCACAGATAGGAATTATTTCCAAATTCACAAACACATAAGCAAACAATAATAAATATAATCCAACTTACTCTTTTACTGAGGCAAATAACTGGCCACATACTACAACCTAAGGTACAGCAGCAACAAAGGCAGCCACAAAGTAGCCATCGGACATTAACAGGAAGGTTCTTCTTAAGACAACTGTTAACTCTGCTGATGCTGGCTTTAAATTCCTCTGGTGCAACCTAAGAAGAATTAAAAAAGAAAAAGAAAAGGAAAATAACTCTAATACCACTGCATTATAACTTCGTAAGTTTTCTTGTAAAGCTTGAGTATATATAGAAATCCAAATATCAAACTTGTCTAGTTTCTAACTTAGCCTTACATTTCTAACTTACCCAAAGGATACTAACCTTTCCAGTTAATGATGAAGGGAATTCAGATTCAAATCTATTGCTCAGTCCAAACCTGCAGAAACAACACAAAAACATACCAGGAAAATGGTAATTTAGCACACACATCATGAATGATTTTGTTAACACTAGCTACTCTTCCTCAAGCCCTCTAAGGGGGTGTTTTCCTGAAGGCTTTGGTGCTGGTGAAAAGGCCTTTTAAGTGTAGATACACTTAAACATGAAAGAAAAAGGATGCATTCGATGTTGCATTAAGACTTGGTCAAATGACTATTCAAGACACAAAAAGGGAGAGGGATCCAAAGCCAGTTATATTAAAAAAAATGTTATAAATTATTTTTTTTAATTTCCGGAAATATTTAAGAGGCATTGTAACAAAGTATTTCTTGAAGCTAAGGGTAGCCAGATTCCATGGGCTCTACATGGCATTCATCACATGGTGCTTGTCCGGGGTGCTCACATTGAACCAGCCCTGCATGCTGGATTCAGCACACAGGATCAATCTGTGAGCTTAATTTAGCCCTCAGGCCAGTTCCATGCCATCTGATGAGTATGACGCTCCTGCTTTGAGCTGATCAAAAAGATCAAGTTGACAGTATTTCTTTAATTAATATCATCATAGCTTAAACAAGTTTTAAACAACTACAAAATATGTAATCAAACTAAGCTCTCAAACATTACAGCCCAAGATGCATGAATCATACCAAGTAAAGAGCCTTATGGACTATTATTATAGCAGCGCTAGCTACAACAATTTTGCAATGATAACAGAGTCGTAGTCTACAAACAAAATGTAAACATAATAATTACAAAACTGATTCAATTAAATTCAGCTATACTTGGCACATGCTACTTTCCTGTATTGTAGGAAAATATAAAGGTAGATAAAGCTCAAGTTGTGCAGTTTTTAACATAAGAGGCCTATGCTTGCTGAGAACACCATAACCTTCAACAAGAGTCTTTGTCTGGTCCACCCAGGACAACTCAGTCAAGACCTAGAAGTCTTCCTCCTTGGGTTGAATATTAATTCTCATTGAGATGCATAAAATAAAGCAACCCTAAAAAAAACTTCTTAGACAATTTTCCATTTAAGATGTTAAATGATAACAGCTAAGAGACTAAGGTAATATGGACCTGTAAGATGTTCTACTTTTCAAACATTAAAAAAATAGGTGAGGAAAATTTTAACTTGCTAATTTTAACTCCTATATGGTTTTAAAACTTGCCATCTGTGCAGATCTTATTAATGCCCAAAACTCAAGGCAAATCTGAATGCACTGCAATATCGTGGAAGAAATTCTAATATGTAATGTACCAAAGCACTCACCAATGGCTGACACAACAATGCTTGTTTTCCACTGACTTGTACAGAATTTAATTTTGTACTTTTACAGAATTACACATCTAACTTTTATACTACAGGAATCTTCAAAACATTAACCAATGCAGTCTTAACGAACTCAATCCACAGAGAGCCTGAAGTAGAGGTTTAATTGTCAACAAATATTGGTCCCAAGGCACAGACCAACAGTTAAAAGTAGGCGCAGAAAAGTTTCTCTGAAGCATCAGCAAAGGAAGCTAAGAAATAAAGTTAAAGGTTTCTATAATAATATATTTGTTCTGTGGATGCTACTTCATCATTTGTATCCCTCCAAGGTGAGATGACCTGGCCAGAGTAAAATAAAAAAAATACATTTTACAGGAAAAAAAATCAATATCTAAAAATACAGTGACCAAAAAAAAGTTTGTACCATGACCATGACTAAGTCTTATCACTTATTACTGAACTGGGAAAGCATATCAAAACCCCTGTTGGGTCTGTTGCTCTCTACACTATACCCTTGCTCTGATATGGTACTGGTTAGGATTCAAACAACTTATGTTAAGTTACAACCCATTCACCTAATATACCTTGATTGTTTGAAATGAATGAAAATGAGAGTTACCTTTGCTAGACAAATCAAGTTCATGTTCCCTATTCAAATATGTCCTTTACCTAATGTAGCTTCAAATCACCATTAAGGGCAATGAAAATTACTGTTCTCCTTTCCCCATGCAAGTTATTTTTCAAAATAAATAAAAAATGTATCCCATTAGGTATTGCTTTGATTTTTGTACTTGTATTAAAGCACTTCAAGTAACAATTGCATCATGAATGCTTACTGTATTTAAATTTTAGGGTAAAAATCAATTCTCAGCATAGTTCCTAGAAAAAGGTTGGGCAGAAGATTCTTAAGCTTCAGCACTGATTTAAACTTGAAAGGGCCATCTTTTTCAATGGTCTATAGTTGAAGTAACCCATTTCTACACTTGAAAAATTGAAGGACAAATGCACATCCTGAAGAGCAAGGTGGCACCAAAACAAGACGTGCTTTTAAAGCTATGGGGCCAAACCCAACTCTTCTTTTGGTGAAGAACTAGCACTTATCTTCAGCTGTATAAATGTCATTTTGAGTCATTAATACAGCTTTTTAGATCATAGTGCCCCTGTGCACATGCGTGCGCGCGCGCACACACACAGCAAGGACTTGTTCTGGCTATCAGTAGCAGCCAGGAGGGAAAGATGCACTAGGCCAGGAAGCAACCCAGCCAAAAGGGGTACGACTCAGAGAGAGACAGGCTGCCTGATAAGTGAGGGTCCTTAAGTTCCAGCCCCTACTGCTACTAGTGGGACAAACTATCCTACTGCTGTCAGCCCAATTTTATCCAATGACTATTAAATGCAAAATGCAGAAACTCTATTGGGGAAGGAGCAGAAGCCAGAATTCAGAGCACACTAAATTCCCAGACTGTGCCTGTAGCACTAAGACAGTGCTTCTGGCCTATTCTCTGCTTGGCCCCACATACCTTGCTGTGTTGGCCAGTCAGTAGGTCAGCTTCAATAAAAGTGGAAGCTGTTCTTGGCAATGCGTAGCCCGGGCGTCAGCAACCCCCAGGCATGCCGAGCATGGCACGCAAGGCCATTTTGCTCGGCACACCACCGCCAGCCCGGGCTCTAAGCAGCTGCTGCTAGCCACAGAGCCCAGGCTGCTCCCAGCAGGAGGCTGGGAGGCTGCAAGTCCTGATGCAAGCAAACCAGGCTCCATGGGCCGGCTGCAGCTGGGAAGCTGAAAACAGCTGCTCTGGTGTATCAGTACTCTGGCACCTTCCAAGGTAGACATTGTGGTTTTTTCAGCACTCCGGCCAAAAAATGTTGCTTACCCCAGCCTAGACCGTAACCTGGTTGCTAGGGCACTTGCCAGCAAAATGGGAAATGTGGCGTCAAGCTGACTGAGGGAGGCCTAGAACCTGAGTCTTCCAGTGCCTGAACAAGTGCCCCTAATCCAAAGCCATAAAAATTCCAGGCAGCTGGGAGCCACACACCATATAGGCTACAGCCCCATGGGCAGCCTAACATACCACCTCCACACCACACACACAGTCCAACTACCAGGCACCTCCAAGCAGCACAGGCAGCCTGGCTCTCCTCTCCCCTCCTGGCTACATGTGCCACTCACCTGGCCTCTTCTCCACCCCCCACAGCACAGGTAGCCTGCCTCCCTCTGCCACATATCCAGCAGTATACCCCTCTTCTCCTCCCAGCAGTGTGGTCAGCCCAGCTTCTGCCTCCCAAGTGCAGTGCAAGCAATACAGTCCTCTCCCCTGCCATGTGTGCAGCTCAGATCCCCCGCCCCCCTCCCACTACAGGGGCAAAAGCAGGGGCAGGTAAAAGCTGGAGGACAGTGGAAGAGCCTGAAGAACCCAGCTGCGCCAGCAGGAGCAATTGGGGAGGGGGGTGGGGTTGGAGGGGCAGCTGGGAGGGAGTCCACTAGCCACCAATTGGACAGCTCTCTTCTACCCATTAAGCTGTTGGACTGAGAGGTGGGAGAAGCCTTCTCTTCCCATTTCGTAAAGTAAATAGCGTTGCATACCCATCAAGGAAGGGTCAGATCCAAAAGCCATATAACTGACCTGAAATACCATTTACGCAGTTAACTGTAATTAAGTTTAAGTTTCCTTCTGGTTATGATGTTTCATATTTTGCAGGAGGATGAATAGGTGGAATGCTTTCCTGGGCAAGGAATTTCTCTTGTGTTCAGGCAGCTCTGAGCTCTGTGAGCATGCAAATTTAGCTCAGAACAAAAGGCAGGAGGAGCAAGGGTGTCAGCTTGGTCTAATAAAAGATATCACCTCTACCCAGAGTTCTGATTCCATTTGCCTGTAAACCAATAAGGTTACAACCTGTATCCCTGAAACATGGAAGATATCAAATTTAGCCATCTGTTATATGAAAACTTGATAGTTTTACAAGAAGGCAAAATTCAACACCTTAAAACCTGAAAGCTGACACCCTTGCTCCAGCCTTTTGTTCCAAGCTAAATTTGCATGTTCACAGAGCTTGGAGCTGCCTCAATGCAAGAGAAATTCCTTGCATCTACCCACCCTCCTGCAAAATATGAAACATCATAACCAGAAAAAAAACCAAACACATAATCCAACATCCTGCTTACCATCAGACAACTTTGAGGTAAATAGACTGCTCTAACTTTTATCTAAGCCTAATTTGCACAAAATGAACTTTTCTAACCAGGAGATCTTACAACACCTTCAGATCTGTGAATTATGAATTTCATTTCCACCTAGAAGAAATGTTACAATCTTTGCATTCTCCTATGCCTGAGGAAGGGTGTGTGCGCCAAAAAGCTTGTAAATAAAGATTTTTTTTTTTGCAAATATCTAGTTGGTCTAATAAAAGATATCCCCTTTAACCAGAGTTCTGATTCCTTTTTGCTTATAGACCAATATGGCTACAACCTGTAACACTTAATAGCATGTATTCAAAACATTTGCCACTTATGATCTATAGAGTGTATTCTCTGAGTTTACATTAAGTACATTTATTTATTAGTTTATGAATGTTTAGTATTTGGCCCTCTGGGAAATGCAGCACCTAGTAGTAGTAGACCTTTTATGTCCTAAATTATGCAAAGCTTCCATATAGTTAAAACTGAATGAACTCTTGTGCATGATACAAGTCCCTTACTTCACATGACTGTTGAGAAGAATTTACTACTGTTTTTGAAAGTCAGACACATCAGTAATAATCAGCATAGAAAAAGTTCAAGAAGAAATTCATAACTGGCCTTCAGAACAGGGTCTGAATGGTATATTCTAAATGAGACATGGGATTATAAACAGGATTATGGAAAATAGAATACTGAACAGGTGCTTGTTAAATGAACACAGTGCATTCTAGGCTCTAAATGATGCAATGGTCCCAAGGGGGGGTGAAGAAAGAAACAAAAAAAATTCCACCAAAACAGTAAGAGGTATCAAAATAGTACTAAGAAACAATCAAAACATATGCACAAGGGGCCCTATTAAAGTTTTAGAGGCATTTTTTTATCTTTTGAGTACTTGCCATAAAACCATAACAATATTTAACATTTGTGTATATGTGCATTTTTTTGTGCAAAGACACAAATTCATGAATTTGTTAAAAACTCCTCCATATTCCATCACTCGTTATCAGAAAAAGCCACATGCATCATCATCGGGGCTGGAATGTTTAGATCCAGTGGCACTGACCTCTGCCACTTGAGCTAACAAAGTAACTGATAGCATTAGCAAACTAACATCCTTACCGTGGGATGATAATAGAGGGTTGAGACACATTTTGCTGTCCAGTTTACAGAGATAAAAGTTGATAAAAAAGTAGTCTTAGTTTTGTCCCCAACTTGCAGTTCCTGTTTTCCTTCCTCTTAGCTACTGCCTCTACTTCTATTCCCCAAGGTGCCAACCTTGTTCCCACTGGTATTTGAATCAGCAGCTTCTTTCTTTGGACTACCCAGGCACAGCAGGCAAGACACGGAGAGAGCAAGACTGACCTTTACCCTGCTCTCTATTCAGATGCCCATAGATACTGTGAACTAACCTGCAAAAAAAGTCTTGTTCTGCATAGCAATGAAGCATGCCCAGGGCAGATGGAATGCACAAGGAAGTTTGCTGCACCTAAAATATCTACCTGCACTGTGCCTAAACTATGATTTTTCAAAGTTTAATGAACTGAGCAAATTTCAATAAGGATATCAAAAGGGCATGTAGCTGACAGATGCCTAACCATTATCAAATTTCAAGTTCCTGCTCCAAACACATAACTACTAAGCCTTTTCGAATGAAAGGTCACCAGAATGGAACATGGAAAAAACTATGTATTTTTCAAAACAGTTGCATCCTATTGGCTGAAAATTGCCAAAGATTATAAGGCTAAGGCAGACAGACAGCATGGAAAATTTCAACACAGGTAAACTTTAAGCAACCGATAGTAGCATGGAAGTATCCACAACATTAAAAACAGACAACGTTATCAGCTCCACGTCATCATCTCGGGTCATCTCTAAACTGTGGCCATTCTAATAACCAACTCACCCAACCAATAACCACTTTCTCTGAAGTAATTTCTATGTTACTATTCTACTGGCTGTGATGAGTCAGTGATGTAAAAGAATGGATCCGCACATCAAGAGTTTTGATTGGTAGACGACTCACCTCCAATGTCACTCCATCTGGTAACATGCTACAGATCAGACATCAATAGCTGAAAGGCTCCCCATGATATTATTCTCTTTTTCAGTCCATATGATGTAGTCTCTTGATGTAGAGGGCATCATCAAGAACAAAAATAAAGAGTACAGGAGAGTCCATATAGCATAGGAACAGTGGGATTTGGGCTCCCTCAAAGCAGTTCCTCTTCTCATAGTCACCTTTCATAGAATACTTAATCTGCAGAAGTACATACACATCCTACTTCCCCTGTGCTCTTTTCCACTCTACTCTTTTAAAGACTAAGGTCTTGATCACTATCATGCTTCTTACATACAAGTACTTCTGTACTTCATTCTCCTGGAACCTCAGAGAAATGGTTCTCAAGTATCTGTGTATGCGTGTGTGTTAAACAGTTTCCTGAGCTCCAATCTCAGAGCACAGGGGAACTGAAAAAAATATTACCGTGCGCTTCCTTTCAAACAAGTGCCTTAGGTACAGAGAGACTAAGCTAACTCCTGAGTCTTCACACAGGATCTTTGTACACATAACCCTCTTACCTTTCTCACACTTTCCATGTACTTACCTGGCCACTGTGAACTACTCAGTATTGCTACTGAAGTCTCTCATCCTGCACACCCACCCATACCTTTCACACCACACTTTCCTTCATCACCCCCTACCACTCTCACCTCTAATTCCCACAAGCTCCTGTTGTCACCTGCTCTCATCCCCTTACTGCTCACACTATCTCCATCTTTCACAGCTTAATAGTTTCATATTCTGGAAATGTATCTGCTACTTACCTGTCTTTATTTTAGCATACAATACTGAAGGCCTATATTTTAACATGTAATGCTGCAGGCTATCGATAAGACTATACACCCAGTATATCAAGCAATGTAGAACGACAAAATTAAATATATTAACTGAAAAAGAAAAATGAATCAGACAGATAATGATGTGCCGAATGCTTTGAGCAATCAATAGGAACACCAAGGAAACCTGTCACTGAACACAAAGGTTCTTTTCTTCCTTCTCTCAGGCATATAGTTTTCAAATGCAATAAAAAAGATCAGTTCCTGCTTGGTCAGACACTGCAGCAAATGCATTTTGCTGACAACATTCCACCTACCAGTTGCCCACATCTAGAAATGTGCTTCAATATACAGGTGTAAAAATAAGGACCTTGTTTTCAAATTCATGTATTTAATGATTTTCTTTAACTTCTTAAGATCTAAAGTACCTTTGAGAACCTCTAAGTATTAACAGTATTTAGAAGAGGGACATCAGTACTGAACAGCTTAGTAGTAGCATGAAACAAAGTACCACAGCAAGCACTATGATCCAAAAGTCATAGACCTCAAAACAGAAGTTTTAAATAGCAAGAATATTTCACCTCCTATGTTTTCTTTTTTCTCTCTCAACTCAGTACAGTAGGGTAAAGGTCTTCATACCTCAAACTTTTTATTTGTACCGTATTCTTCTGTTTTTCCTTGGTCATTTAAAACTATGTCCCCAATATTTAAAAGGACTCTTACATATATCCTATATCCTTTTCCCATTGGATGAAGTCAGATAGCACTTCTGCCTTTCTGACATGAATCTGCAATCATAGAAATCATGAAGCTACCCAGATCTCCAAATTATACAACCTATTTGCCAATTAAGAAAAAATAAATACCATGAACAGTATTTGATCCATCTGTAAGTTCACTGGATGTAATAATCAACTTGTATCTTTGAAAAAGATCCAGCTTAAATAAAACTGTATGTACATAAGTTATATCAGCTAAGAGAAAACTTCTTTATATTTCTCAAACTTTTCTCCCCGTGAATGTTTTCATTTAGGAAAACATGATGATGATATGAAGAATGAACTGCAAGTGGGTTGCAATTAGTCAGAAACAGGGAAAAAACTTGCAACAGGATTTTTTTAATCTTCTCTGATTTTATGGAGCTGCAGTCAATATAATTTTATGGCAGGGGGTGGAGCAAAAGGGAGAAAGGAAAGGACTCAATTGAAGGACCTCAGAACATGTCTAATATTGAATGCAACACAGATTGATGTAAATCAAATACTTTTTTGAAGGGCAGACTGATATTTCATTGGCATGCCCAAAAGTTTGAGTCCAGGTGTTTTCATGAACACATACTTGAACACCATCCTGCCCAGCTGGCAGGCCCGTCAGCCCCAACACACAGCTCTTTCATTAGCCACAGCACAGGTGATGCAAACTTCCTCATGCTTCCCACTAACAGGTTTGGATCTGGTTGTGTAGGACCCACCCTCAAGGGATTAGACAAGGGAGTTCAAGCCTTTACCTTCATTTAGTGCTTTGCCTTCCAAATACAAAACACTGCGAGGAGTGTAATCGTGGGTATGGTTTTCCACAACGGCCACTTCCCCACTAGAAACGAGCTAGAACCAGTGACTGATTTCATACAGGCCCAACCGCCACCAAACGGTAAGGACTTCTGAACTAGAAGCTGCCCTACCAGGAGAGCCTGCCCTCCCTCTCGACAGGATCCCCTCCCTTCAACACCTCCCAGCCCCGTCCGCTCGCTCTCAAACAACGCCTGC